CGTTTATGATTTGGCTCACACTGTGGGGAGTCGGCTCCTGCAAAAGACCTCCGGCAGAAAAGCACGGAATTGTTAAGTAAAGGTTCTTTTATTTGGGAATGTTTGCCAGAAAAAAAAGGGCTGAGAACAAAGGACCAGTTTATTATAAAATTTACTTTAAAAATAAGTCATTGCGCCATGCTGTTCAGAAGCAGTTAACAAAGCTGTAGCAACCATAGTAGGTGCTAATAATCCATTACTGCGCGATGATAAGTATGACACTTCTCTATGTGGTAAGTTCCATATTACCTGGAGACAGGCCTTTCTGGAAGGTTGCCCAATTAGTCAGGTCCTCGCCCTACCAAGCCCTAAAAAGCCTTATAAATAAATGTTCACACATTTGAAACTTGTCATTTATTGAAATTTAATCATTGTCAAAGAGAAATTCCTGGCGATAGTGTTATATATGTGTGTATCAGATCATAGCAGTCTATATATTGTATACACACACACACCACTCTAGATATACAGCATCTCTCTATGTATATAATGAGTTAAATCACAACTCTCTATCATATATATATGAGAGAGAGAGGAGAGAGAGTGTGTGTGTGCTTGCTGTGTGTGTGTGTGTGTGTGTGTTATTATAATCACACTCTCAAATATTATATATATATACACTCTAAATATTAGGAAGCATAATTCTGGTAAAAAATAAATTTTGTCAATCAAGAAATTTTCCTCAGGCAAATTTCAGCTTTATAAAGATTCCAGTCCTTTGCAAGGATTGGGGGATGCTGCAGTCCTCCCTAGCGCCTCAGCATGGGTCAGCCTCCGCTACACTAACCCTCGGGGGAAGGTATCTGTGCAAACATTCAGCTGCCACCCCTCTGCCTGACCCTGCCTAGAAGAGCAGTGCATTTTGACAGAATTGTGGAGGGAAACACCCTCCAAAAAAGAGCAAAACAAACACGGTAGGGTCATAGCATTTGTCCTCGGGATACAATTCTTTATTGCTTATAATTATAATCAATAGAGTACTGTGAAACCTAATACTAGTCTCTTTTTTCTTTTCTGTATACATGGCCTTTTTCATAGTGCACACTCCCATCTATCCGCTGGGGGAATGGGAGGTAGAGTAGGAAATTAGGATTCTTTCTATAGCAATTTTGAGTCCCTAATAAGGCAATGTGAGGAAAAATAAAGATTTTAGATATGTTTATGCTGCCATTAACACAACAAAACCTAGGTCTGGACTTGAACATGGAGATTGTTAGAAACCAAAGAGAACTCAGGATAGAATATAAGGGGAATTCACATAAAACAGAGAGAAAAAGTACAAAGAGGATCTCCTCTTCTAGTTATGAGAGTGAGAGGGCAGGAGACATGGGGCAAGAGACAGGCCAAGGTCTGCGGTGACCATCCACCCTTGGGGGTGAAAATAAAGGAGGAGGGCACTATTCCTATCCAACTAGGCATGGACCAGCCTGAGAACACTGGAGCCAGGGGCCTGTGTCCTTCGATGCAGCCTAAGAAAGGTTGCGATTCTCCAGGAGAATCTCCATAGTCAGCTCAGGCCCGCATCCAAGATGGTGATGGGAAGGGCCAGCATAATGCTCCCTTAGGGCCAGATGGGGCCAGCTGCATCTCAGTGAGCCCATTCAAGGACCCATAGACTATACCTAAGTAGCCACAGGTCCCTCATGAGGACACAGCGGACAATGCCTGAGCTACAACATCACATAGAGCCAAGGGATAATACAAGGAACTGAGCCCATGGATCCAAGAACCCTTCTTTTCCTCCTTGCTCCTCTCCACCATTCCATTTAGTATGTGTCACCTCAGATGGGAGCAGTGGGTACAAGGAAGAAATTGGATGAATACATAGCTAAAAGAAAATAAATCATTTAAATGAGACTATTTAAACCAAAGATGCAATTAACAGAGATGCTAACTGGCAAGTTTAAAAACACTATCCTCTGCTCTGTCTCCCAGGAGGGTGGGTATAGTGAGAAAGACTGGATAGCTGATAGAAAATACTGGACGTTTTCTTTGCACATATGTGTAATAATGTTAAACTATAACACATCTATACTACAAAACAATTGTATATTTTTAACAGCTCCCCTTTTATACAAAGGTTTTGAGGCAGCTATAATCTTTGTATTGGAAAATAAACACTCAAGGAAAGATCAAAAGACCTTTAATTAGTTTTAGTTATTTGTCATGAAGGAGCGAATGCTGAATTTACACTTAGTATATGTGTTTTAACATATAGAAGGTTAGTATGAGAAGTGTGGTAACTTGCATTTTCTTTATTCACGGAATGTCAATATTTTTGTGGAAGAAAAGAAGCAAGAACTGTCTTATTAATGCCTTTATTTTCAGCACTTCCTAGACTTCCTAGAGCATGGTGTATGCTCAGTTAATATTTATTGAATGAATAAATGAAAATACAAATTGCTTAGCCTCAGAATGGATAGCTTAGGACATTTTTGGAGCTCTCTCAAGCCATTACTGATGCTATGGGCTGAATGGAAGAGCCAGGGGAATCTGATGTGGCAGGAGGAAAGGGCTCTTGGTTACCCCATCCCCACTCTGACAAAACCCGCCAAAGAAGGAGATGTGAGGACTTTGCTGTGCCTGGACACCCCTGCTCCCATAGGCTGTAAGGCTAGTGTGAGTGTGAGTGTGTGTGTGCGTGCGTGCGTGTGCGTGTGTGTGTGCGTGTGCGTGCATGTGCAAGGGGCAGTGTTTTCTGGGTATGGGTGCTTGCTGCAGCCTCAGGTGAACGAGTACAACCTTTGCTGATACCCCATGGAGAGGCATCTAAGAACTGAGACTCTGGTCCCAGGGCCAGTCTAGGAGGCAGGGAAAGAGCACAAAAACTTAGTCTCAGGGAGGCCTAAATGCTATCCAGTGGTACATCGAGACCATGCTTTTTTTTCCCCCTTCTAATATTAGAGGTTCAGGGACAAAATTAAGCCAGATAGAAAATTGTAATGGAATTGAGAATGTGATAGTGCCGGCATCATAAAGGAAGACGGTAGGAAGTGAAATGTTTTGTCTCAGGCCAGACACTGTGGAGCATGGATTTGGCAGATCTGATGCAAGACCCTCCTGATCACAAGGCTGGACTGAGTCATGGGCTGTGCCTGGCACATAGCCTTTGTTTGCAAATCACCCAGTGGCCGAGCCGGAGTTTGCCTTGGGCACTCCTGTTTGCATAATTTTTAAAAACGAAACCTTTTCCCATGCTCTTTAGGAGACTGGCCTTTTGCAATACAGTCAATCAAAAAACATTGCTGAGAAACAACTTACCATAAGAGCAGGACTGAGTCTTGAGAAGATTGAAAAGTGGGGAGAATAATTTAAGACTGCCCAGAAGGCATTAACTAGTATTCTACTTTCATAGATCAACTTTTATAGATTCCATAAGATTATTCTGTACTTCATTCAAAAGACAATCACTTGCCTTAATGTCTGGCCAAGTTGTTTCTTGGGGTCCATAAATCTCAGATGGCATTACCTGGCACTGTTAGTGATCAAGGTCACTGGTTGACTGAATCTGCGCTGGAAACAGACGTGTTAATCCACCTAGTTAATTCACTGTGGTAATTAATTACTGAACACTTATCTAATTAGCTAACGCTTTTACCTCTCAAACCCAGAGGTAAATGCCAGATTGAAATTGGTGGTTCTCCTTATTATATCTTAAAAATAAAATTGAGAGGTATGGCATAGAATATCAAATAAAAGTGTGCTGGTGCCCGTGGTAGTGAGTGAGTATGGTGAGTCTCAAAATTGCCAGTGGTTCCTGGGAAGGAGCAGCAGGTAGACCAGCCTGAGATGAGTCAGGGGTAAGAGACAGATGTATTATTACAAGCTATCAACAATAACTACTGTCCTAAGTTACAAAGGCAACACACATGTTAAAGACTATTTTGCCTCACAGTCATCATTACCTTTTCCAGGATAAGTGTCCTCAGGAATTTTTTGATATCTGGGCACAGTTGCAAACATCTAGTTGGTGGTAACAATGGCAAGATTTAGGCTACATGGATTCCTCAATATAGAGTCCCCTATTCTTTTTCCTTCCTATTCTGTAAACTTTGCTGTCTGACCAAGATGGGCCAAAGGAGGCCAGTGTGACATTCAAAGAGTTTGCCAAGAATGACTGTCACCAGGAAGAGGAGCGTCTTCTAACATGGAGAACTTAGTTAGGATATGAGCACTTGATTCTTGACTGTGATGCACATTCTTAGAAATCCAAGCATTTTAGGAGGTGTCTTGTATTTGCTGCTGTTTGGCATTTATAGACATTTTAGGTTCTGATTCGCCTGAAAGCCATGAGACTATGTTCTTGAACCTCTCACCAGCATAGAACTTCAGTTGATTGCTCTGGGAGTGAAGGGAAAAAAGATCAGGATGAAGTTATCTAGTTTTCTAGATTTTTCCATCCCCAAAGTGAAAAGTGAGAAGCATTAGCAAAAGTAGTGAATTCATGCCTCTCTTGGCAGAGACTGCGTTTTCTGAAAATACTATGTTATATTATTCCATGTGGATTAACCCCTGATTCAATAAATTTTACCAACAGCCTACAGTTTAAAGAAAGAGGCCCTGGGAAATAAGTTTTTTTTTTAAAAATTATCAGTCCTTCTGTGTGAACTGGAATGAGCAAAGTTCAGATAAAGGGACATTCTGAGGTCCTGACTTTGGATGCTTTCCTAACTTGTGATGACAAAGAATGAAAACAAGTTGGTGAGGGGCTGGATGGAGAGGGGAAACTGAAATGTTTGAGAACTGGACGTTCTCATATGTATTGGACACAGTTTTGAGAAGACCTGGTAGGCGTGTTATAGAAACCAAAAGAAGACTTGTATCCGTATACAGTTTTCTCAAAGCAAATAAGCCTGTTTGCAACATCAAACCTGTGTTGGGATCAAGGACAAATGTAAGGGAAAGGTTCTCACCAATAGTTAACAAGCTAACCAACCTGGTCAAAGAGCTAGGATGGCACACCATCAAAGGGGACCTATCTTCTTGAGAAAGTTCTGCTCTGAGAGCTGGGCTGTGGTATAAAAGGCATGTCAGGGAGGGCATTTTTTATTTGATAGGAAAATTTAAAACGCTAAAGGAAAGTTTTTCTTAGCAATTTTACAGGAAAACCTAAGTTTTAAGAGAGGGTATCATTCTAACTTGGAACTGAACTATTATGACTAGATCTATAATAGCAAGTCACAATATTTCTCTTTCTTGACATCAATTTAAGAGTGACTATTCACATAGTAGAGAGAATGGCTTTGGTTATACCTGCCTCCAATAGTTCCATGAGATCTGATAGGAATACATATGTTGGGTGAGTAATTTTGATTTTCTAAATTTGTTTTGATCAGATGGATGCTCCTTAGATTTTGTATTAAATGATTAGATAATGGGCCTCTACAGTTATTACTGGATACAGCTCATAAAACAATAAAAACAATGCAAAATGTCTTTTCAATGACATTTTTACTCCTTGATTTTGGGGGTTAGGGGTTGGCTCATCTAAGAAAATGGGGCAAAATAAGTCAGAAAAACATGCAAAAATTTAGCCAACCTTCAGTAGTAAACAAATTCAAGGTTCAGCCTGGGACTCACTATAGCGTTCAGCCCTTAATTCCACGACCATGCGCTGCAATTGAGAAATAATTAAAAGGGTCTCTCAGTGCCTGAGGGAGGTTTAATTGTGTTGCAGGATATTGTGGAGTGATTTAATATGCTTCGTGATGGACCTTACAGAGAATTTACTTCTTGCCTCACAAGAGAAGAAAGGAAATGTCCCTTTGCTTGAGATTTTGAAGCTTGTTCTGTAGTAGTAAAGTGCACTAACACCATGGAATACTTTATTTTGGAAACTAGGTATGTATGACCCAGTAACTAATTAAAAATCTATTACTCTAGATGTTTTTGAGAAGGAAATTAATAGTATTTTGTTCTACTTTCTGAACAGTTCAATTTAATTCAACAATAGAATTTGTTAAAACTTAGGGATTCAAGAAAGATATTTGAGATAGCTTGCCTCAGGGGATTCGCAGTCTTTCTAGGGGGATGGAAACTTAACTACATTACAATGTGAAATGCTATCTACCAGCACTAGCATGAAACAAATGCTTTGGGAACACAGTAAGAAAAAAAGTAATACTGACCAAGGAGAGAAGATGCTTGGAAAAGCCTTTATGGAAAACGTAATATTTGAATTGGACCATGAAGGAAAATTGGAATTTTGGTAGGTGAAAAGTAGAAGAAAGGAGGAAGGATGTTTGAAGGACAAAGGCCTGAAGCAGGGGTTCTCAACTTTGGCTGTACCAAAGATCATTTGAGAAGATTTTTAAAATATTTAAATTTTTTAGATTTAAAATACAGAGTGTCTAAATTAATTAGTGCCTGGTCAACGGTGGTTTTTTTTGTTTTTTTTTTAAAGCTCCCTGGTAATTTTAATGCACAATCAAAGTGAGAATCAATAAAGATATAGAAAGACACAAGGCTTGGTAAAATGTTTTGAAGTGTATGGAATGAAAAGCCTGTGGAAAGGCCAGGCATGGTGGCTCACACCTATAATCCCAGCACTCTGGGAGACTAAGGTGGGTGGATCGCTTGAGGTCGGAAGTCTGAGACCATCCTGGCCAACATGGTGAAACCTCATCTCTACTAAAAATACAAAAAATAGCTGGGTATGGTGGTGGGCACCTGTAATTCCAGGTACTCAGGAGGCTGAGGCAGGAGAATCACTTGAACCGGGAGGCTGAGGTTGCAGTGAGCTGAGATTGGGCCACTGCACTCCAGCCTGGGTGACAGAGCAAAATTCTGAAAGAGAACAGAAGAGAAAAGAGAAGAGAAGAGAAGAGGAGAGGAGAGGAGAGGAGAGGAGAGGAGAGGAGAGAGGAGAGAGGAAAGAAAAGAGAGAACAGAGAAGAGAAGAGAAGGCATGTGGAGAGAAATGGGAGGAACAAAGAACAAAGAAGTCCCAGACAGTTCTTGGCAAAGACGTCTTGACCCACTGTGGTGTGGGGGTAGATACCTTTTATCACTGATAACTCTAGTGGCATATGATTACTACCCAAATAACCAAAAGCTACAAATGATATCCTTCATAAATATGAACTGGATTGAATTAAGGTCATTCTTATAGCCGTCATCAGCTCACTGTCTTGCATTTCGTGGTATTTTACAAAGAAAAGAGAGGAAGGATTGGTGTTCTAGCTGTACTGCTGTGATGGGGGTTTGAGCCAGGGCCGTGGCCACTGGGTTGGAAAGAAAGTGGTGTATTCAGCTTGGTTGGTGGAGTCCTCAATGGCAGTGCTATTCAAAGTGTTGTCCACAGACCATCAGCGTCAGGACCAATGAGGAGTTTGCTACAAATGCAAATTCGGACACACATCAAGAACCCGCTGAATCAGAATTTCCAGAAGAGGAGTCCATGAAGTGTCTGGCTGATTCTTATGCATGCTACACTTTGAGAAGATAAAATAAAATACAAATAATTTACTCAAGTTTGCACAATTAGGACATATATGGTTGAACTTGTACTGGAACCCAGGCAATCTGAATCCACAGCCCAGTAGCTTATATTCCACAGCCTCCCATGCAAAGAAATCAGATGACCATTACAATCAGAACTGAATAGAAATGGCTGTTTTGTAATTTACTGGTTGTTAATCTTGCACAAGTTTCTCAACTTCTGTAAGCCTTGGCTTCTTTGTTTGTAAACTAAATTATTAATCTTACCCAGCTAATACAGCAGTTATGGCACAAATGATTTAATGAATTTGTTATATGCAGTTTTCATGCCATTTTCATGCTTAGTGCTATGCTTGGCACATAGTGAGAGCAAATATTCGCCATAATTATTGTTATACTGCATTGCTTCTCAACGAATAATTTAACCCTAAAGGAAGGTTTATATTCAGACTTTCTTTCTTGTGAGCTTTCTCTCAAAATTCTTTTATATCTTCTTTGTGTAATTTTTTTTTTCCAGAAAAAGGTTTGTTCATGTTAAAAATGCTTACTTGGATTCAATGGATGAAGACATTCTCTATCACTTGGATTTGGGAACAAAAACACACAATCTACTAGCAATGTTTGGAGATGTAAAGGTAAAAACATTTCTAATTTCAGGAAAAATGATTGAGTTTTTTCTACTAATATTTCTTCTTACCTTGCCAAAATAATCTATACACCATTGGCTAGTGAAGTCCCAACAGGAACTAAAGTCACACTCATTCTGTGAAACAATTTGGAATGTGTATATCATGAACAATCATTTCCACCCCAACAAGATATAAAGGTTCCCAAACTAAATCTAATGCAAACATGTTATTTGACTACTCTGGTCCCTGGAGATAAATACAATTTTATTGACAATACTGCTGGGTGTTGAGAATTCATTATGTTTTAACAGATTCAGCTCACTATTTAACATCTACATTTATAGCTTAATCTCACTAGTTCTCATTTTATTAAATCATAAAAATAACTCAACAAAACTAACAATATTATTTCACTTCTGGGAAATAATCATTATCTAATATTTCATATTAAGATTTTGTTTCATAAGAAATATTTCATAAAAATTATTTATTAAATACTACATAAAATTGTACTTCTGCATTATTTGTTTTATCTGACATGTATTTTAATTATATAAGCAATTTGTGTTCCTTATTTAAAACAGGGAATACAAAAAAGAATATGATTTTTAAAAAACACCCAGTAGTCCTACCACCTAAACATAGACACGATCAACTCATTTATTTCTTTCAATCATTTTTAATGAATAGACTTTAAAATAGTTGTAACTATATAGCTGCATTCTACACTTTATCATTTAGCATTACATCATTAACATTTCTCCATATTATTACATTCTTTTGAAACATATCATTTATGGGTGTCAAGTGGTGTGCCACACATTACAGAGACTATTATTAACTTTTATGCTAAAATATTTTCCATTATAAACAGGAGTCAAATGAATATTTTTGTACCTGAAGATTTTCTACATTTAGATCAGTTTGCTTAGGGTGATTCACAGAAATGCTCAAAGAGACTGGATTTTTAAAGAACTTTGTTTTCCAAAAGACTATATATATTTACAGTTGCACTAATGGAGAATCGTGCAGTTTTCATCTGACTTTTTCATTTCTTTGGCAATTACAATAACAAAAATAAAAGCGTCACATGTACTATCTCACTAACATCTGCAGATTTAGCTCTTTTAGGTGGGTTTAGCAGATATTAACTCTCCATAAAACAAGAAAATTAAGTTCAGAGAGGTGGAAGAAGGTTACAGTTACACCACAGAGTGGTGGCGCTGAGACCTGGACCAAGTTCTTCCAAGTCCAATCTCTAGGGTCCTTGCTCATTGCACTAGGAGGACCCTTTGGGTCACAGTAACTCAGGATTGTCCATAATTATTTAATCCTAGCTCTTTCACTTACCCATTGGGTCAAGAGGCAGGTGAGAAAAGGGGAGGAAGAAGAGGGGGAGGTTAAGAAGAAGGAGGAGGAAGAGGTTGGAGGCAGAGGAAAAGGAAGGGAACAAGAAAGTAAGGAGGGAGAGAAAGAAAAAAAGTTGGAAAATGAGAAGAAATCGATCTACGATGGCTGTGGTCAGTAGGTGCTGAGTGGCCTTCTCCCACTCCCTCTCTCCTAGGCAGGAAAGTGTGAGGGTTTGGGTGGGTGTCCTCACAGCGAGGTGACCCACCATTTCTTCACTCCTCTCCAGGCTGCGCTCCTTGCCTTTGTGTCACCTCCCTCTATCTTGTGCTTCATCTTCTCAATGTAACCTCTTCCCCTGCTGCTGTGTTGGTTTACTTATGCTCCAAGAGTCATTGATCAAGGCGGTTTTTAATACTCAATAATCAGATTGTACCAGAATTCAAATGTTAGATTTGAGGTTCATGCCTCACAATAATATCCCAGGACCCTTGTCTAGAGATGACTCTGATTAATTGAAAGACTTTTCATAATTAATGAACTAAGACACATAGCTGGTTAATACATTTAAAAGACTTGAGACACATATTTGAGGCAGAAAGTGATTTGCTATCTACATATCTGGGTTTCTGTCTCTCTTCTACCATTTATGGAGTGCTTCCTATATATCAGACTCTGTGTGGCACGTGCGAATGGTACAGTCAGTCCCCACAGCAACTAAAGTAGTTATTATCTCCACTTTACAGATGAGAAAACCCAGGCTCAAATATATACATAGTGTTATAACATATATATAATATATGTTTATCTGTAATAGGCACAACACAGCTGGTATGTGAAACAACTGAGATTAAAACTTAGGTTTCTCTGATTAAAAAAAATAATGGCTCTTTCTCTGTTCAAACGAAACAAACCAACACAAAAACAAAAATAAAAGCACTATGTTTTAGTACTTTTTAGTACTCCAAGTATTAGTTTCTGGGAAATCATTGGGATGGAAAGCTTTGTTTTAGAGATAAAAATAAAGGGACTCGCATGTATGTATCTCTCTCTCTCATGCGCGCGCACACACACACACATGCACACACATAGTTGTCCCATCTCGGTTATAATCCCAGGAACCAGACCTTCACATCTCTGTCTGTCCAGATTTTGTTCAGCATTTATTCTCACACACTGTCTATCATAACCACTATCCAACCTTATATATTCACCACCCGCCTGGTTGTGAACCTTCAGTAAATTATCTTTTGGATACAAAGATATGCTCTGTTTCAAACCTGTTTATCCCATCTGAGAGCAACTCTACTGATTGAGCCACTTTGATGAATAGGAGGCAAAAGAGTGTGTGTGTGTGTGTGTGTGTGTGTGTGTGTGTGTGTATGTGTGTGTACATTGAGGAGCAGGTAACCTAGTTCCAAATGATCAGAACTGGCCATTTAACCTGAACTAGAATTTTTTCAAGGCAGCAGGTAAAGTCTGATTTATTCTCATAGATGGTTTCCTCAGAAACTTGCCTTCCTCCAGCCATGTTCTCCTCTTTGAACGAGAACATTCTACATTCAATTTCTTGAGTCCCTTAAATCTCAGGGCAGCAGTCCTGGCTCAGAAAAGAGGACATAATCCATCAGTACCTGAAAACTCAGCCTTGTCTTCACAGAGATGATAATCATTATTAATAGCATTATCTTCAAAGAAAGGAGAACTCTGGGTGTATAAAGTTGAAACTTCAGACTCCAGCAATCGCTCCCATTTCCTTCATATTCTTACCATATTTAAAAATTTTTGCTATGTGCTACTGCAAAATCTCAGTAGCTTAATAGAAGTTAAGTTTACTTCTCACTCATATTAGGTACAAAGTGGGAGTTCTTTGTTGATGGATGGTTTCCCTACAACTGATGATTCAAGGACCCAGGCTCCTTCCATTATTGTGACTCTGTTTCCTTCAAGGCATAAATTGCTGTTTCCCAGTGTGTCAACATCTGTCCAGCAGATGAGAGTGACAATATGTAGGGTCACCAATACATCCTCCTTGTAGGATAGGAGATTTCTATGGGCTAGGACTGGAAATGGTACCCATTACTTCTGCTCAAATTCTAGTCACTGGAACTCAGACATATGACCTTGTCTAACTGGAAAGGAGGCTGAGATGTTAAGTTTAGCTGGGTACCCAGAAAGAACGGCAAACTGTTTAGGTGAACAGCTAATCAATCTCTGCCATACTCACTAGAAAGATTCAGACAATTAATACATATGGTGGAGGATCCTTAGGAGTTATCTATTCGATATCAACATCCAAATATGTCTTTTATAAAATCAGTAACTGGTATTCTCTAATCTCTCACTAGAAATTTCTAGTAATATGTAAAATTATTACTTTATAATACCATATAATATGCATTTTGAATATATTTATATTCCCTTGTTAATGTAGAAAATGCATAAGATGCAATAGACCAGATTCATACAACATGGCATAGTTAAGACTTTTAAGATACTAGGGATATCTAAAGCTGAGCTTTTTTCTGGCAGTCATTAGCCAAAGTCCTTAACATATTTTTGTAATGCCTCTGACTCCTTCCCATTGTGTTTCTAACTTCTTTGATAAAACCAGGACAATTGATCGTTTTGTTTGAGACAAAAACACTGTAAATGTCACTTAAGGTCAATGTTGGTTGGTGGTCTTCAGCCATATTTTACTTCTCATTAAAGCAGCCAGACTGAAAACTGTGTCCAGAGATGATGTTTAGTGAGTCTGGTTTAGGAGTAAGGAAGGCTTTAAAAACCAAGATGCTTCTGTCTGTGCATATGATCTTTATGTCTCCAGAAATATTCAGAAATTCCTGTTGATTATAGCAACATCTACAGTTCAAAGGAGAATTCAAACCACAAGCTATTCTAACATCTGTTTTGGTTTTATGGTCAATCTGAATAGTTGTAATTTACATTCGCTGGCACCACACAATGAGGTTATTTTCAAACTACTGTACTGTGTTTTAAAAATTTCCTCGGACTTAGATCGTGAGCCAAGTCTTAACTATCCACACCAACAAAGAAGAAAATTCCATGAATTATTAATAACAAGTTTAAAACTCACCTGAGACCATGGTCTTAACCTCTTTGTTACCAGTCTTTATGGCTGACTTCTATTGCAGTTCATTACTAGCTTAAGGCTTCATCAGAGAAACTCTTAAGAAGGCAGAGAAATGACAATGTTAAGGGTAGAAGAGAAGCAGAGGGCCTGGATACAGGGCTAATAACATCGCTAATTGCGAAAGAGTGTAGCTCAGGAACTATTGCTAAATGGAAACAGGATGCATCATGTTATCAGACCACCCAATAGTTAGAGTAAATCATTTGTGAATGGGGCCACCTATTCTATAACCTCAGTTAGGTATTTCATTAGACAGATATTCTTTATCTCTGTGATGGACCTCGTTACCCCTCCCAATCCTCTGTCCAATGCTGCCCACATCAGCTAGATACCACCAACTGCCTTTTCCTTACTAGAGGACTCAGACCAGCTTCATTTGTACTAAATTCTGCAATATAGGAATAGTAAGCAAGTTCAGAAGCAGGAATAGAAAATTGCTACATGATATATAAATTAATGGTTACCACTTGTCCATCACTGAGAACGTGTCTGGACTTGTGCAATGTCCTTTGCCATATGCAATCTCACGTTCTTCTTTCAAAACTCTCTGAGGGGTACTGTGTTTTTCCTGTATTGGAGATGGTCTGAAGCACATAGCTTATTTGTGTGACACTGAGCAAGCTTCTTACTCACTGATGGGGTTGGAGTTCAAAGCCAGGTTTACCTAACCTCAAAGGGTAGACCCTCGGCTATGTTGTCTTCTCTCTCTTTGCATTTTCCTCGCCACTTACTTCAGAATCCTAGAGGATTTGACTCTTGCCACCTTGCTGTGGCCTGTGCTTCCTCCTGGGTGTGAGAGTCTGCCAGTGCTCACTCTCTTGTTGCCGACCCCTAGTGCTTCTCTGCTTCTCTCCCTGGCATCTACCTCTCCCATTCCTGGTCCCTGGGGCTAGTGTACCCCTAAACAGACTGTTGTATGAGTAACTGCCAGACAATTGTATTGCCATCTTCTATTAGACATCCCTGACTGCAACACCTATCCTAATTTCAAAGAAGGCAAAATGTGAATAAAGCAAAAACAAAAATAAATCACTGGAATTGATGAAATGCCACAGGGAGATCCCACATTTACAATAATAAGGCTTGTTCCATGAGAATTTCTCCTGAATAAGAAATTTAAAAGTCTTGAAATGATTCCTTTAAAATTTTAAGTTCACATAATCCATTTCACAATACAAATTTATGATGGGGGATGCGGAATCAGAAAACATACCTAAAACTGGTAGTTCTCCTTTTGCTCTTGTATCACTTACATGCTGTGGCCTCAGAACTTACATCCTAAGCTTATGTCATGGTAATGCTCAACAATAGGCTGTCTATGTCAATTTAAGATGCTGGTTGGTGTTCACTATAAACAAAAACACCAGGAAACACCTCCTTGAATAATATGAATGTTTATTTTGATTTGTGATTTTTTTTTTTTTTTTACTAATTTAGTGCATAAAACTTTGCATCTGTTGCCTTATTTACAGGCTGATGCAAAATAGCTAATTCATGAAACATAAACCATGACATCTACACACACTCTTAAGTAAATTAACTAAAAAGTAAAATAAAAAATTAGAGTTGAAACTGACCTGTGGTTCTTATCCCAGTTACCATGGCAGGCCCTTGTTTATTTTTATTAACAGTTTGTCTGTGTTGGTGGGAGCCCCAACAGAATGAAAGCATTTGCACTGTTTATGCACAAGGAGCTTGGGTTGGAGGAAGCTGAAGAAGACATAAAAGACATTTGTGCTGGGACAGACAGATATTGTATGTACAAAACCGGGCCTGTGCTCACCATCAGTGTGAGTATCCATGGTTGCATTTCAGCTAGTCATTGCAGGCTAGACAAAAAAGTGGGAACTTTTACATGTAGGAGTTCTTTTTCCCTCCTGCTTTGCATTCTTACACAATTAAGCTAGGTGTCCAGGTATGAGTTTCTTATTGGAAAAAGCCCCCAGGGCAGAACATAGCATGCAGCATCATTTTTGTTTATTAGTTACCACTTAGATATTCAAATTAGGGGGAAAATACTCAAAGCACCCCTCCTTTCTCTTTACTTTGTGACTGGTTAACACCCCTCACTCCCCCCACCCAACGGCAATTTTCCTTCCTCTATCCCTTACCCAGCTTTGGGAATGTTGAGCTTTTAGTACACATAGGCTAATTTTCAGGACTGCTAAAGTGCTGCTGTTTAACACCATAATAAACTCGCTGAAAAGCTGCTAATGCATTTCTACTGAGCTCTTGTGAACTACTGTCCTGCATTTAGAACATGTGAACAGTTACGGAAGCACACAGTGTCCTAAGACAAAATGAAAGGGGAATGATTTGCAGTTTTAGGGAACATGCAGACCATTTCCCCCTTGGACTCAGCTGGGCACACACTGATGAGGGCGTATGTGCATAGGTGTCCAATTTGCCTTCCCATGTTTATCCCTCTGCACAGGGCTGTATTCTGAAGCAATAACTCTGAAGCCATCACATTTCTGGGCAGTGCAATCCTCATAAGAGGCACAGGCAGGCATGCTAGGGGACAGGGGAAGAATCTCCTGCACAGGGTGGCAGTTCTAAGGAACTGAGCTGTAAGTGGCTCCTACCAGAGGGAATAGGCATCATCCATGGATTGCCCTACAGTGTGGACGAGCATTGATGAAAACCTGGGGTAAAGAAGAGAAAATTATGCAACAACAATGAGGCAGCTAAATTGATCTCCTCTCTGGGCCAAGAGAGCCTGAAACCTGTTCAAATGGGAATCCATTCAATTATTCGCTTGTGCATTCAATAAACGATTACAGAATATCTACATTAGAAGGAAGCTGAATATCCACTGATCTTGGCAAATTTTTTCTTACCAACATTTGCTGGACTTTTAGACGATAACTGTTTTTTTGTACAGTAAATGGAGAAACACAAAAATGTTAAGTTTCTTAAAAATGTGGCACTGCCAGAAATAAGCAGTAAAACTTCAGAGGAAGAAATGAAAACAGCAATAGACTGATCCTGCTGTCCTGTCGGGAAAAAGACCTGAAATATGTGTCATGCCAAGGTTACCAATTAGAAATGGGCCTTACTAGGCAGGCAGGGGACTGACAACTGTGATTCCTTCTTTGAAAACTCTTCCTCTCCAGTAGCGGTTGAATGGGGTGCATGTGTGTGAAAGAGAGCACAAGTCCATTTGTCCTTTCATCAACGCGTCACATAATAAGTGACAATCATTAACTTACTAAATGTCTGAACTGGAAGGACTCTGAGAGATCATATAATAATTCATCTTAATTATAGTAAGAAAATTAGGTAAGAAAAAATAATACTGAGAGAGTTTATTCATTAGTCACAGAGGCAGTTCCAAAGTCCCAGACTTGTTAATTTTGGATATACAAATCAATACAAGTTTGATTCCTGGCTCCAGGATGCTTACTAAGCATTTGAAAATCAGGGCATATTCAGTGGGAACCAGAAAGGGGGAACGCAGAGGTTCGAAGTTTCCATAGCTCAACATTCTTGATAGAAGGAGGAAGCTCAGGTGAAAACATCATGGTCACGGCCAGTGGTTTTCCGAAGTCTTTGTATCCAAGAGTAGGACACATTGGGGAGCACATTTGACTCTTTGCTGTCATGTCAGGAATGAAGTTACTACCAGTTTTAAATTCAGTTCCAGTTTCTAAAAATTACAGAATGGAAGATCTTTCTGGAGGGTTATTAGGACATCGTGTAGCCACCAGGAGTTGCTAAATCCTCCAGCCTGTGTTGATCCCTTTCCTGTTGACATTGATTCCACTGTCCTGAATACTGAATAAAACAGGGTTATGGTCATGATCTATAGTAATTTAAACTCACTTCCATGTTCAGTATAAGTTTAAAATTGTAAAGTGGGGAATCTAGCCCACGTTTCTACCCTAGTACCTTTCAAAGCACACAAAATTAAAAGCAAATGAAATGGATTCACTATTTCATTTAGTATGGTTGAAAAGGACTCTTGATTTGGTGGCCGAAATTATATTTCCTCAAAATCAAGTCAATCGTGCAAAAAGCTCTTTTTCAAAGGCTCATCATGAAGAGCCCAGTGGGAAGATGGGAAATGGCTCTGCCCTGACACACCTGTATACCATACCATCCCCACGTTCTGCTCTTGCTGATGAGGGCTGAAGTCAACAGAACTGGCAGCAAGACGCCTCCCTCTGATCTTCACAGATGGACACATCTGTCAGCATGTCATGTAGGCGCCAGTTAGGGAGGACTTACGTTTTCCTCAGCATTGGCAAAGTCTTAATGATTATGTAAATTTATCTGAGGCCTGTTAACTTGTAATGAAGGAAGAAGATATGTCCTGTTCATGTATCACTTTGCAAGATGTATGAAGACTTTCTCTTTCTTTCAACAGCACGTCATGGTCATCCCCTCCATTTCTATTATGCTTCATGAACTCATCACATTACTCCACCATGCACGGTGCTACGATGTCACCATTATTAGAATTGGCACATCAGGGGGAATAGGTGAGACGGATTGATTTCTATTAGAATTGAGTGATCCTTACACACGTGGTAGCTGCCAAAATATACCATCCTATTCAGAGCCCAGCAGAAGCCCAGATGGGCTAAAAAGTGTCAGAAGGCTGGACTTGAGGAAATTCAAGGAAATCTGCCCACATTGCGTTTTTCTTTTCTTCCTTTTTTCTTTATTGAAACCCACAGGGAGAGATCTCACTGCCTATTGCAGGATGGTCTTAGGTGTTTATAAAGGGAAGAGTAGAAAATTTGCTAGAAGATGTGTTTTGAGGGTAGGGGTAAATTTCAAGTCTTAGGAATTTTTTTGTTGTTGTTTTTGTTTTTGAGACAGAGTCTTGCTCTGCCGCCCAGGCTGGAGTGCAGTGGTGCAATCTCGGCTCACTGCAAGCTCCGCCTCCTGGGTTCAGGCCATTCTCCTGCCTCAGCCTCCTGAGTAGCTGGGACTACAGGCACCCGCCACCATGCCCGGCTAATTTTTTGTATTTTTAGTAGAGACAGGGTTTCACTGTGTTAGCCAGGATGGTCTCGATCTCCTGACCTCGTGATCTGCCCCCCTTGGCCTCCCAAAGTGCTGGGATTACTGGCGTGAGCCACCGCGCCCAGCCAGGAATTTTTTAAAGTAACAGAAATAAGTGTGTTCAAGTAAAAAAAAAAATCACAAAAATTTCCCAGTTTCATCAGCTAAGTGAGCAAACTGCAAAGCTCTTAGACAAACATTGCTTTTTGCCCACATCAGTTACTACATCAGCTCTACTGGCTGTATCTTTTCCTCATCAGTACACCAGAAAGAACCCAGGCCAGGCTTTCAGGGAAGGCTTAAGTGATGCTTCCTAAAGTTTTCACAGAGCCTCCTGACCTTCCTTCTTCTTTGGCTTCTCAGGCAGCTGTAAAGAGGCCTTGTTTTTGCTTCCAGAATGTGTTGTGATGAAGTTTTGAGGAAACGTCTTCTTCTTCAGCTTTTTCTTAAGGAGCACATCTTGTCAGGGTATGATTTTACCATGTCACCAAAATGCAAATACAGACTGCACATGGTAAATGGAGAGGTTTGGTTGACAGGGCGATAGAACTGAATGGGCATTATAAAAAGGGCTGAGATTTGGGAATAGAAATGGTTGTAGAATTAGACATTCATGGAGCAAAAAGGGATGTCAGAAATCCTCACACAAATAGCTGGAGAAGTGTTGTGTTCAACATCACAAAGCCACCATGGCTGAGCCATGCGTCACTAGAAACCATACACGCTGGAAAAGATGGTGGCCTTTCCACAGCCGTGGTCCAGGAATCAAGTCCAGCCAAGGCCCTTACATCTGGGAGAAAGTAAGACCTTTGTGGATATCCATCCAGAGAGAGAAGTAGAGTGTTAGCAATAAGTGTTAGATCAGGCATCCTTCTAGATTGTAGTTTATCCAATACCCCAAATGATCAGTAGTAGGGAACTACTCATTTGGGCATGAATTTCAGATAACATAGCTATTAAAGTTGCTCATAATTCTTGGGTTGTGGGTTACAAGGATCTGCCTTCAGAGCCCACATTCATGCATTGTAAAGTCCTGACTGCTACGGTTACCACTTGATATTAATGAACACCAGCATGGGCAAGGTGCTCCGATGACCATCCAGCTCTTGATAATGGTCTTTTATTTCATGGCAACATGATACAGACAGCACACAATGAAGGCCCATGGATGGTGGCAAATTAACACACTGTGCTGGTATAGACACCTTCATTTTGAAGTTTTATCCTTATTAAGAACTCTTAGCTTATCAAAAAGTTGTATTTGCTTATTTTGTTTTAAGCAGTTTTGCATTTGGAGATGAAAGATGTACACAGTATTATGTTGCTCACATGATCCCTTCCTACATGAGCCAACACACCTTGATAAGCATAAAGTACTCAGTTAAATAGTACGTTGACCTTTGAGAAACCTTAACCATGACATAATACACAAACATTTAAATATCAGGATGGCATATAAATAACATTATTTTTATGTATACGCTTTCAACTTCCCTCTCAGTCACTTTCTTAGGACATTGTGAACAATTCAAGGAGCCACTTACTTGGATTGTTTAAAAAGTATCTGGCAGGGCACGATGACTCACACCTATAATCCCAGCACTTTGGGAGGCCGAGGCAGTGGATCGCTTGAGGCCAGGAGTTTGACAGCAGCCTGGCCAACATGGTGAAATCTCTACTAAAAATATAAAAAATTAGTTAGGTGTGGTGGTGTGTGCCTGTAGTCCTAGCTACTCTGGAGGCTGAGGCAAGAGGATTGCTTGAACCCGAGAGGTGGAGACTGTAGTGAGCTGAGATCACCCCACTACATTACAGCCTGGGTGACAGAGCAAGACCCCATCTCAAAAAAATAAAAATAAAAATAAAATAAAATAAATAAAAAGTATTTCACCCAACAAGGACCTATTATCAGTGGCCACCTTGGGTCTCTAGTTGGATCCTCTAAAGCATTTTGTAATTTAGTCTACTTTGATCAATATCAAAATTTATGCCACCCTGAAGGATAAGGCTATACTCTATAGCACGCATTGTCAAGCTTTTTCTGTAAAGGACAAGATAGTAAATATTTTAGGATTTGCTGACTGTGTGATTTCTATTGCAACTTCTCAACTCTGCCACTAGAGCTTGAAAGCAGCTATAGACAATATGTAAATAAATGGGTGTGGCTGTGTGATAATAAAACTTTATTTACAAAGACAGGATTTGGTTTATGAACCATAGGCTTACAGAGCTATAATCTATGGCATCTTTGTGAAAACATTCACTCATTCGACAAATTGTTATTGAGTACCTATAATGTGGCAGGCACAGAGCTAGACCAGGAGAGAGCAGTGAACAGACACAGTTCTTGTCTTTATAGAGTTTACGTTCTATCAGAGAAAAAGATAAACAAATGGGTAAATATAAAAACTGTTAGGACAGAGAGAGTCTAGGGCATCTATGAAGATATATCTTCTTATTCAGGCTCTAAATAGAAATGAGACTGGGTCAGAAGCTGGGTCAAAACTGGGCCTGGGGAAATTTAGTGTAACCTGTCTGTGTTGCCTTTTAATTTTTTCATTTGTTTGCTTCCCTTCTGTGGATTCAGACCTTTTTCAGGAAGTAAATTAAGCTGACACCTGAAGAGTGACTTGGGGTGTGATGAAAAGGTAGGGGGAGGATGAGAGGGCATGCCAGGCAGGGAGACTAACAGTTGGCAGAAAACAGTTTCTTAAGTAAGCCCAAGTCCCTTGAGCACCCCAGACTTTGTAGCCATGGAAGGTCAGCCAAGAGGCCTGATTTACATGGAGTCGGGGAGGGAACAAATGTGACAAGAATCAGAAGAAAAAGAGGATAGAGATGCAAAGAAATTACAGTAATCAAGAAGTCACGAGAAGATTAAATATTAAGAAGTCACATCACTTTATGAAAGCTACTTGCTGGCAGGCTTATTTATTTTTTTCCTGACCTAATTTATTCAGATTTGAGCCCAAAGGCTGGCACTAATTTGCATGTCCAAGAGTCATGTTTGTCTTGAAATCTAAACCCCATCACATTGTAAATGTGCATTTGGAAAGACAACAAATGTAAATGCCTCTTCTGAATGTTATTTAATTGCATTGGGAAAAGAAAAAAATTTTAAAGTTGAAAACAGGGAGACTCATTAGCAGCTAGCATTAATGTTCGCAGAATTGGTTACATATGCTATGTGTCAAAAGTAAACTCTAAATGATATTCTTCTGTAATCATTTATTATCACATTGCAGGGATTGCACCAGGGACTGTTGTAATAACGGATATAGCTGTAGACTCCTTCTTTAAGCCCCGGTTTGAACAGGTCATTTTGGACAACATCGTCACCCGAAGTACTGAACTTGACAAGGAACTATCTGAAGAACTGTTCAACTGTAGCAAAGAAATCCCCAACTTCCCAACCCTCATTGGACATACAATGTGTACCTATGATTTTTATGAAGGTGAGAACAGTTTATAAACTGGGAAGGCAACAGAAAAATGCCAGCAACTCTTTGTTATTCAAACCCATAATTTATATTAAAAGCTCTCCTTTAGAAAATTAATATTTGTGGATTAAAAAGGAACTGAAACAGTCTTTTTTTACTTACTAAAGCATAAAGACACAAGGACATAACGAGCAGCAGAGAAACACCCAGAATCAATTTATATTGAGGGTGAATTTAATCCTCCAAGAACAAATTGAACACTAAAATGTAATTAGTGATGTTCACAAAATCTTATCTCTGTTGATGCCTTTAACTTAGATTAGCAGCTCTAAGAGAAGGGAAGTATACTGATTCTGTGTTTCTGCCATTCGTCTGTACCTTAAAAGGGATTCTGTCCCCAGGAAAGAGTGGGCCAGAAAATGGGGAGAAATGCTTGGGGAGGAGGTATAAATCCCACTGGATGGTGTGATCTGAGTGGGGTTTTGTCTCTCAGCCATGAGTAAGGGGTCCCCAGACCGAGTTTAGAGACAAATGGAAGGTGACTGCTATGTAGCGGGCTTGCTACTAGAGATGAAAGGCCCAGGGGAAGAAACCTTCAAAGACAGACCCCCGACTTTTCTCGTCCCAGAAGAAAGAATCTACATAGAGTTGGTACCGTGCCTTGAAGGGCATTCTGAAAATCTGGCAGTGTAGTTATATTCTTTTCAAAATCCATACTATTTCATTATAAATTATTTTTATTTTCCCTTTGGATCAAACTTAAAATACTATATTGGATTTTAAGAAATTATGTTTGGAGATAGGTCATGTTATCTATACATTTTACTTCCAGTTAGTAAAGGTGGTTTTACCACATATTTGTTGTAAAATAGCAGGGCTGTTGGGGTCTGAAAGGGCTGAGACCCTCTGTTCAAGCCCACTGACTCACAGTCCCTCCATCTCGAGGGTCACTCACTGATATGTTAAGCAGAGTTTGCAAACGGTAGCTTGTTCAAGTCAATGTTTCCTTTGGCCTGCACAGCATTTTTTAAAATGTGAATTATTTCGCCAACATTTACAATATCTGGAGATGTTATATGAACATCCACATTTCTGGCTTTTTGAAAGAAGTAACATTTAAAAATGTAGAATATATGCATGGCAGCCTTGGCAAGCCCTGACCCACATCTGGGGCTACGTTTGCTGAGGCGGGGGTGAGGTTGCTCCCCTCCGACCAGACACTTGCGTCGGCATTACCTGCGTGGCTCCTGCGAGGTCTTGTTTGAATCAGCTTAAATCGCACTCTGTCGAGGTGTCGGCAGGTAGCTCTAATGAGAAGAGAAGGAACAAGGGAAAGCAGACTGCCGGGGTGAAAGTAGCATGAAAGAGTTAGAGGAAAGGGAGAAAAAGAGAGGAAAGAGTACCAAAAAGGGGATTGTGAAAATAATGGATGGCAACCGCGTGCTATTAGGCCATTTGCTTGAATCCAGGCCTTTTCAGGAGTGGGGAGGCATTAGAAGGTCTATTTCTGGGTGTGCACAGCGTACAGGAGGAGTAATGACATCAGACTTTCCTTTTCTTGCTTCTGCCTGCACTGGAGGATACAGGTGAAATTCAGTGACGAATGAACACTGGGAGCAGCCTGGAAAGGAAAACATGATCACAAGGGGTGGCATGCAGCCTGAGAGGTGTGCGGAAAGGGGGAAGGTGGACAGTGTCGCAAAGGGCATAAGGAGAGGCGCAATGTGCAAACACTGTCCTGATCGTCAAGTAGCTTAGTGTCTGGAAGCCTCTTTTTTTCTCCCAGCACCCGTCCCTGGGCCATTCCCCAGTCATTGGAGCAACCTGAGATTCTCTTCAAAGGGCAGCTCTCACAGCAACCCGCCGCTTCCTGATTTGCCTGGGCACAGTGCTGGCTACCGTAGCCACTCAGCAGTGACTGACGCCAGAATTGAGGCCCTCGGCCATGGACGCTCCTTTCTACGTATGAGACTCCTGAGCCAGGGACAGCCTCCTTCCATGGTCCTCCGGTAGGAAGAGTCACACAGCTCAGTTTATCCTACATGGGAAGCACACTGCAGAGTTAGAGACAGCTGCGGAGGGCTCCAGCCAACAGCAAGCCTCTTGTGACGCCACTGACAGTGGGGTGGGACATCAAGTCACTAAATGTTCTCCCCTCTCTTTCAGGCCAAGGCCGACTAGATGGAGCACTGTGCTCCTTTTCCAGAGACAAAAAGTTAGATTACTTGAAGAGAGCATATAAAGCTGGCGTCAGGAATATTGAAATGGAATCTACAGTGTTTACAGCCATGTGTGGACTCTGTGGTCTAAAAGATAAGCTTTTCATGAATGCTTAGGCTCAAATTCTCCTCTTTCATGCAGCTACTTTTACACTTGAGGAGAAGAAAAAGGGGTCCAGCTATATATTACCTTGGGCTGAATGCATGACTTGTAATTGTATATAATATACATTATCTCATAATATCTTGTGAGTGGCCAGGACATTATTCCTATTATGCAAATAAGGAAACTAAACCTCAAGGGTCAAAATCAAGTTGCCCAAGGTCAACAGCTAGTTGGTGACATGTTCAGGACTCGACAGCAAGTTCGGTTTTCTTCATCCTGGTAGTGGCTGGTAGTTTCTATTACAACTGAATTTATCGAGACAAGATACAAAAAAAAAATTCCTAAAATAGTCCATCAGTCATAATTTTAAATAGCACGGTCAGGGAAGGATGGGAGGAGAATGTGCCACATGGCTATCTGGGGGAAGAGCATTCTGACCAATGCAAATCCAAGGCCACAGGCAGGAGGAGCACTCAGGGAGAACTGGAGGAAGAGGGAAGAGATCAGGAGGGGAGAGGCAGTGGTGGAGAATGGTAGGAGAGAGGGAAGGTACACAGATTGTATAGGACACTGTGAGAACTCTGGGTGAAATGGAGAGCTTTGAATAAAGAGGTGGCTGGATCTGACCTGTGTGTTAACAGAATCACGGTGGCTGCTGAGCTGGGAAGACCCGAATGGGGTGAAGGGCAGAAGCAGGGAGAAGAACGAGAGGACGAATGCAGTAGTCTAGTGAGAGTTGATGGACAAAGTGATAGCAGCGGAGGTAGTGAGAAGTAGTCAGATTATAGAAACATTTTGAAGACAAACCCAGCAACATTTGCTGATGACTTGATGTAAATTTGGGGAGAAAGGCAGGAGTTAAAAGCGACTCCCATGTTTATGGCCTAAACTACTGGAAGCGTGAGGTTGTATAACTGGGATAGAAAAAATTGGGGTGAAGATGTTGGGGTAGTAGACATCAAAATGGAGGCCAAGCAAGCAGGTGAATTTATGAATCTGGAGTTTAGGTGGGTCGTTTGGACTGGAGACATAAAATTCTAAGTTGAGAGCATATAGATGGCATTTAAAGCTATGAAATGGATAAGATAATGAACAATGAGTCTAGACACAGATGACAAGAGGTCCTTGCTTAAACATCAAAAGTTAAGGGAGATGGGAGAGACCAAGGAGGAGTGGCTCATGAAGTTGGCAATACACCAGAGAAGTGTCGCATCCTGATATGCAGAGAGGAAGGCTTCAAAGAAGTAAAGAATTATAGCACAATAAAGCTTCATTTTTATCATAAGTGGAATTTGCCTTGCAATACTTGTCCTTATAGTCAATCAATTTTAATCTATACATTACAAACAGAATATATGTGGTCATATTTCTAAGAATGCGTTTTACAAAAAAGCTAAGGAGATTAATTGTCGAAGTACTATCCTTAACTACTTGCATCTGTCAGAATATATGCACATGTAAATTATTGGTAAAAATGTGGGAGGAACACACAATGCATTTTTGTACTTTTTTTTTTTTTGAGACAGAGTCTCCCTCTGTTGCCCAGGCTGAGTATAGTGGTGTGATCTCAGCTCACTGCAACCTTTGCCTCCTGGGTTCAAGCGATTCTCCTGCCTCAGCCTCCCGAATAGCTGGAATTACCAGTTTGTGCCACCATGCCCGGTTAACTTTTATATTTTTAGTAGAGACGGGGTTTTACCATGTTAGCCAGGCTGGTCTTGAACTCCTGATGTCAAGTGATCCGCCTGCCTTGGCCTCCCAAAGTACTGGGATTACAGGAGTGAGCTATCATGCCCAGCCCATCTTTGTACTCTTTTGAAGGTCATTGCTAATACCCTCTTTTAGAGAACAAGAGCATCTGCTTTTCTCTCTACAAGTTAGTGACAGTGGGAAAGCAGCACCCCACACAGCCCGCAGGGACACCTGGATTCAGATGTTTCTGCTCTAGGAAATGCCTCCTCATGTTTATTTATTATATAAACAAGTGATCACTTGAGTCATGTCTCCACCTAATATGTAAGTGTAACATAATCTGTTAACCACTTTATTAATAGTTAAATATAAAATGCCGAGATATCAACATGTTGCCTTTGTGAAGACTGGGTGATGACCAGCAGTTCTTTCTTAAGAGGCACCAATTGGCAGCCATGAAGAGTTCTAGGCTTGTGGACCTGGACTCTGAGTCTTTCTTTCTCTCTTTAGGATGTTGCAGAAACCTAAGTGAAGTTATTCTAAGAGCCTTTCTGTCCTTGCTGCAAATCTTTGTGACCTTGGTCTCTCTGCTACCTGCAGGTTTCCCTCCTGGATACTTTCTTCTCTACATTTCTGTAGTTACCGGACCCCACTGCATTTTCTTTCTTATGCTGCCGCTGGACCTGCTGGTAGCTGATTTTCACCTGCAAATAGCTCTCTCCCAGGCCACTGCTGCAGCCTTTCATGGAGTAGACTCCTTCTAGACTGCCAATATTCACACTAAAGGCTGCATCTGCAGCTCTGTAGTTCTTGGGAGTATTTCTATCCGAATGTCTTCTTGGTGCCAGGGGCTCTTTATCTCCCTCAGATACTACTGTTTTAAAAGGTGGATTCCTGGTATGCTGCCCCTTGGAAGATCAGCCACCAAGTATAGAGACGAAAACCCCATACATAGGATGCTATCATATTCTCTTCTTTCATTACTACTTCATAACATCCTGTTCCTGTAACACTGAAACTTGGAAGCTGGCACCCGGCACCTTCTGATTTTAACCCATTTATAACACACTGTGTGTGAGCCAGAAAAGCTTGCTTGGGGAAGGGCTGAGAATGCATTAACGGACAGCTGCTGAAACAGAGAAAGTTAGAGAGGGCATCCAATGGTAAGCAATATGGAAAAAAAGATTTCACCTGGCACTAAGAGCCCAGGGTCCATAGGCATGTCTCCGCAACCCCCTCCCCGCCACTGTTAGTTATGGCCCACCCTATCCTGTTTCACCAGACGGCCTTCTGAGACCTCTTCTGTTCCTTTAGTACTACCAGATGACTGGATAACCAATCTGAATTCATACTAAGGTGATGGCTTATAAATAACAATTTTTTACATAAACAAGGGTCTTCTAGAGAACCATTGTACTAATTTAGATGAATTACTCAGAGTTTGGACCATTGCAGAAACATATCTTTCTATATCTACTTAGCACAAGGAAGCCTTGGGTCCATGTGGATTACCACTTATTATCTTTGCAGTTAGTATTACACATCTCACCCTAAATCTCACCTCCTCAAAAAAGTCTTGCATGACTACCTATACTCACTCACTCACAATGGTGTCATTCTATTTCATTTATCTGCATCACATTTACCACTACTGACTATATTTCCAGTCTGTTTATAAATTAACTTATATATTATTTCATGCATATTAATGTGTGAAGGCCTATATTGATTATTTCTCTCCATTAGAATATAAGTGCCATAAGAACAGGGACCTTGTTTGTCATTGCTGTATCCCCAGTACTTAGAATATTGCCTGCCATATGGGCTTTCAATATTTACTGAATGAGTGAATGAATGAAACAAAAAGGGCCACTAGACTCTTTTTCACCATGGAAAATGGCCATTGCAAACTTTAACCTTCATTCCCCAGCCATATAAGTGGCTTAGAATTGTCTAAAAGACTTAGGAGTATCTCCTAACTGTCCACAAAAGGGGAAGTAAAGCCTTAAAGTCAAGCCTCCCTTTGCTCTAAGGTCTATACAAATATTTATTTTGCTAGATCTACAACCTCTGGGTTTTTCAATATTTGATGGGTGGACAAACTACCTGTAATAAGGCCACTGACACCCATAAGTCACTGCCGCTATCCGGATCTCATTATCTTAGAAAAGAGAGTTGGGAATCCAATGCTGTTTTAACAAAGATTCAGGTGAGGGAAATAGTGGAATTCACTCAATTATTCCAAGGCTAAATTTTCAGCATAAGGTAAACCTGTACAATGGAAGCACTGCGTAATGCTCAATAAATGCATTCTCCTGTCACTTTATAATATGCACATATCTGTGTCTCTCTTAAAGCAAAATCTACTTTAATTAAGCCCCAAACATTCTGGTTAAAGATGATAATCCTCTTGTACTGTGAACTTGTGATAAGTATGTTTAACTTGCATTCATGTTTTAAAGACAGTGCTGCCTTTTGACACAGGCTTGCATGACAATATATGAAGCTTAATATTTGTCTAAGCTTAGGTTCTGCTTAAATCCTCTTCTATGTCTAGTTGTTTGCAGCACTCACAGTGGCTTTGCTTTAAAGAATTCAGTGTTATTTCCTTGGACAGACACTGGTAACTTAGGGAAATATTTGGTCTTTATAATATTATCTTAATACAGTTCAATGAGAGGGAGCAGAATCTTGACTTTAATTCCATGTTTATATTCTTCTGCTGTTCCCAACAATGAAGGATATTGGACTCTGAGAACTACATGAGGATCATTGATAAAGGTAAAAAGATACCACAAGGATTAAAGGTTGTAATCGGTTTGGAGCTAGAGTAGTTCTTAACCCTAAAATGGAGATAAATCCAGATTTTGAAAAATCCTTAGGCTGGGGTACAAGGCGACCAATTGCTGTGCTCTTCACCTTTACAAGAGAAAAATAGACTGTAGCTCAGGAAGGTTAAATAACCTTCCCACCTTCTCAGAGCTGGGAAACAGGTGAGCTGGACTTTGAACCCAGCTCTGCTGACTCAGGCCCCTTTGCACCCTGCCTGCCATTTCTTGCCAGCAGCCTCCCCATGGAGACAACACGGTCATAGTCTCTGGATAGAAGAGCCAAAATGTGCACCACTAAAAGTCAATGCAGATTTTTCCATTTTAAGTGTCGTGAGCAGATAGTTGCACCACTGCTACAAGCAAACCCTAAGGACTGAGCACATACCAATTGACTTAGTGATGGGATCAAACAAAACATTAAGCAGATACTTATTTACTAGTATGCAGAGCCCTTATTTTGCCA